TGTAGGTAATAGTCCATTAGAGTTGAATCATGCTGTGTTGTTGGTGGGTTATGGTACATTAGATGGCCATCCATACTGGCTGGTGAAAAACTCATGGTCAACTCACTGGGGTAATGCTGGTTACATACTTATATCTCGTAAGGATAACAATTGCGGTGTTCTCACTAGTCCAACATATGTTATTTTGTAGATTTATGTTTAAGATTTCAACATTCTATATTGTCATTTTTATTGACTCAATAATAATTTAAAATTTTAAGTCTGAGGGTAAAATATATTGATTTTACTTTTACAACTTTTTTGGTACTAATTAATTTTTTATAATGAAAAGAAATTAAAATATTGTACTTTTTGATCTATTTCTAAATAAACGACTGTTAGTTTTATATACCATGTATTTTAATAAGAATCATTTTAACAAAATCATTTTTCAACCTACTAATTATACCTATTATCTAGTGATTAAAAAGATGTACACAAATGTATTACATTAATTCACTGTTATAGCTGTAAATAGAATTCTTATTATTATTGTGAAAAAATAATATACATTATTACGGCTAACTGGTGAGTTAAATATAATTATTTTTTGACAATTAACATGTTAAACATCGATATCAATGTGTCATTGACATGAACAAACAGGCACCCATGGTTGTTGTCACCGCATTGTTGACATACAGTAACCTATTTTGTAGCAGAACAAATTTTAAATCTGTATCAGTCATTTTTTGCTGATTTATAAAAATCTTTTTTAAAGATAGTTACATGCAATATCTGCAATTGTCAACAAATACTAAAATCATGTACAGTAAATTTGATTTTTTGAAGTATATAGTTATATAGATAATTTTAATATTAATAAAATATTAAAGTATTAATAATGATTTATAAAAAAAAACTTAAGGTTATAAGTCAAAAGTATATTGACACATATTTATATAAGCACCTATCCCAAGACTGAAACAACAAATACCCTTTTTAAGATTACCACAGTAATACAAACCTAGATTGCATTATCTTTTTCTAAGTTCTAAAAACAGGGGCAATCATTTGCACTAACCACACGTCCACACAGTACTATGATGATTGAACAATTTGTTTAATTCTCTTTATATTTTGGTAGCTTTGTCAGTAATCGAAAACAAATGTTATTTATACAGTGAAATGTAAAATAGGTACTTATTTAGTTTTTGTTAACTTTATTCTAGTTATTATCAAAACTAATCAAATTTTAGTTTTGTAATTCTTAATTTAGTTTATTTCTTCAATTAAATATAACTACAATGACTTTATTTTAATTAGTTTAATTTTAATTAAAACAACACTTTTTAACCATTGATATCACTACATGTTGCTAGAACTATTATCATCATTCAATTATTTAATAAGTGCTTATTATTTTACTAATAAGTAATTTTCTTGTTCTTTGTTCATCTACTCTGTGTACTTTTATTTCTTGAATTCAGTACAAAAAGGGTTAATTTTTTATTTGAAATGAACAAACAAGTGATCTTACAAATATAATCTATCAAGTGTAAAAAGGTTTACCTTGAACATATAAAACAATAATGTTTTATGTATAAATAATAAATAAAAATGTTTCAATACTCAATCATATAAATAACTTACCTAATCTGTTTTCACTGCCCCAAGATATTCGATTAAGTTATATATTATAAAATTAATTAACAATGATATATAGCCATATAGCCTATAGGCTTTAATAAACATATTATAAGTAAGGTAAAAAGGACGAAAATTCCCAGCCCGATAAATGGTATTTTTTTAAAAATGCTTAACCAAAACATCCAAGTTAATATTTAATTATGATTTATGATGTAATGTTTCTTTAATACTGCTGATAGCAGTTATTTTCCCTTCATTACAGTGGTATAAATAGAACTTAGGCAAAATAAATAGCTGACCTTATTCATTCCAAAATAGTACTAATATTGTAATTATTTAAAAGAAACACAATTTATAATTATAAATATTTTCCATTATGTTAGTATTCCCAATAGTTTTCACAAGCGAACGACTTTATACTCAAAATTAATTTTTGACAAAATAAATTTTGTTTATTTGATATTCCAAAAAATAACCGAAGATAACCTACATTATTTTTTTGCCAAATGTTCACATAAGCCTTTTCTATTAAAAATGTACACATCATTTTCAACATTTTTTTTTTGTTTCTGAGCTATTTATAAAGATTTGATATTTAAAATTTTCACAAAGCTTTAAAATATAAAACAAGGTTTCTCCCAAGTTACATGAAACTACTTATTAATTAACAGGTACTTAGATTATATATATAACAGTAGTATATAATATGTCTATATTTTATTTTTTATATATTATACCTAGTGTTGTATTTGCTGCTCGTTTCCAATATAGGTACACTATTAAAATATTAAGTATATAACGCTTTATTACTGTTTTGTCCATCAATGACAGCACTATGCTACTATACGTCCATACCAATCACCTACAATATTGTATCAACTCCTATCACTAATATAATAGAAACTATACTGCTTGACATCAGTGGGGTATCCAGGATTTTTCAATGGAGGGGGGGGGGGGCTATTTACAAAGTAAATCATAATTTAATATCTGTTACCTTATACTAGGTCGTTATTTTTATATCCCGTAACCAAAATATCATCTACAAATAATTGATAATAAGCAAAATGTTTCATTAAAACCGTTTTAAGAAATGTCATGGTCTATACTTTGGCTTTTAATGTATTATATATCATAACACTGTTAATGAGGGGAGGACTGAAGGCCTTTAAGCCCTAAGGTCCCTTCTCCTGGGTACTTCACTGCTTGACGTACATTTTGGTATGTTATGGGCTGGTTTGACGTACTCTTAAGGTTTAAAATTACATGTTTTAAGGAGTAATAATTAGGCAATTTATATGACATATAGGTGTATATTTAGGCTTAGTGTATTTGTATGAGTAGTAAAATGAAGTACCTATGAAATTAGTGTGTATCTGTTATCGCTTTTAACTCTCTCATGTCCAAGCATTTGTCAATGGATTGCGGCAAATCAAATAACATATTTGTTGTATGATATATATTATAATTACAGGGCCGTGAAAAGAGAATCCCGAACCCGGGGGGTAATATCTTGGGGCTTTGCTATTTTTGACCACCTATTATTAATTTTGTTTAATTTCCGGGCCCTATTAAAAATGCAGGGCCCAGGGGGAATCCAACCTTCCCCTATCACATCAGGCCTGCATAATCGCATGATTACTGTTTACACTTTACTCCACAGTCTATAATATAGACATCTGTAGATTAGATGACCAATTAATTTAATTTACTTTTTAGACAGAGGTCTTAAATTTCAAAATTTAATAAAATGAGTGGAAACTAGAATTTTCTTATACTCACTACTTACATATTATTTAGGTTAGATTTAGTAATTCACTAATATTTCAATTTCCTAATAATCAAAATGTATTATTCAACTATGGAAAGTGATTAGTGAACTTATATTTCCAGGCACCCGGAAATTGGGCTACAATGAAGCATTTTTTCAAAAAAGTATTTTGTTAATAGGGCCACAAAAATTTTACATTTAAAACAGGCAAATCAGATGATTGCGCAACTATTTTTAACGGTTTTTTTATTATTGGATCCAGTAGGCAGAAGAATTTTAAGCAGAAGCTTGTATTAAAATTAGGAGTAGAAGCGAAGGAACATTAAACTCCAAGAAACAAATTTTAATTCGAGAGTATTATAATATTTATGAAATAAATGAAATACGAAGAAGGGAACAAAAATAGATTTGAATTGTGAAATCTATATATGGGTAGCATTATTATTTAGAAAATAATTTTATTTTTAAGTAATTGAAAAAAAATTATAATTATTTGTACTTATTCTCACCTATTTAAGTATTTATTAAAAAAAAAAAATGTTGAAAATATGTAGGTATACTGCAATTAATAAATGATATACTCAAATATTTTTGTGTTATACATTTGTCTCCCAATCTCCAGGAAATAAAATTTAAAAAAATATTTTTGATATAAAGCAGGTAGATAAAATTTATTGGAACGATTATGGATATTTTCAACAATAATATTAATTGAAAAAGTGAACATTAGTTAATGGTTTAAAATTTGGATTTATGTCAAATTTTTTTAAAAATAAATATGACATTACAATTTATGATTTATGTGATATTATATTACATATATTTTGAATACAATTTTATTTGGTGATATGCATCACTTTATGAACTATACGTAAGTAAAGCTATTCATACAAAAAGGTTCATTCACCTGATTTGGTACTCAATTTGTGCTCGATCTTTTTTGTACCTATTTAAAATCTGATATGCCCAAAACCAATGCAAATGTAACTAAATTATTTCACAGAATTTTAAGGTTGCTTAAAATTGAAAATTGATTGTAGACTTCCTAAGCTTAGACATTTTGCTAAAGAATTCATTCATACATTAAAAATTAAAATCGGACACTCAAGACACTGCTTAATGGTGTTAAACTCAAGGAAAATAAACTGCGGTCTGTGATGATCTCCTTAATTATTTAAGCAATTAGGTAGACTTATTTTTTTTAAATTACATTTATATAAGTAATATAAGGAGAACCACATTTCTGGCCTATTTCCTATTTCCACAATACTACAATATAAGTATAATGTATTCTATAATTTATTATACATAGTAGTTAATAATACTTGACACTGAATTAATGACAAATATAGTTCTAGCGAATATTCCAATCGTAGGTATAAACTATAAAGGTAGTAATAAGTAATGCTATGTAGCAAGGCGAATGAAATCGTACCTTTCCCACCATCAGCACTAGCCAATAAGATAGTGAATAGGTAACTGATAAATGTTTGAACTTTGTTTACCTAGGTTAGGCCGAAATGCCGACGTCGAAAAAAATAATAATGTGGCGTGATGATCGCCTAACCTTCCCCCCTCCTTCACGCCAGCCGACCGAGTAGCCTTTGTGTCTTTGTGTGTCGTGACAGATGGCATTCAAGTCCTTGTATTGCTATTTGCTTTTGTAAACCGCCGCCATGCATGGATAACAATCGCTCGTAGCGTTCAATAAATAGATAAAATAAGGAATCTTGTACATTGTAAGATTTATCATTCATATAAATACGTAATATTTTATTTATTTATGGTTAAATATCAACAATTATCCAACGATTACGACGATAAAGAGTCAAGAGACACGGGCCCTCACTTTCTTTTACATGCATGATGCATTAATGTCAATTGTCGAAATGTAATATTGATTTAAATAACAGGTAGGTGCAAATATTTGTTTTAACATTTTTTTTTATAATTCATACTTTTTAGATCGATAAAATGGGTAATAATTTTTGTAAGAATATAATTATTCCGAACAAAATGTTTAACTATCGGTAGAATATTATATAGTTTTAATAGCGGAACGATTAATCAACCAGTGATAACCGTGATCGGTATTTTACGTCTCGATAACCTAATATCGTATTAATAAATATATTTACAATTCATACAATCGAGTGTTTCGATTATAAATTATAATAATATTATGTATATAAAGTCTCACTCGACCCCGAGTTATTGTTTTTACGATATTAAAATAGGTACCTATTAATATCACACGGTTCTAATTTTTGGCCTTGTCTCTCGTCGTGTAAAACAAATAACAATATAGGTATGGTGGGCAGTGACTTAGGATTAATCGGATCTATGGATCTGTGCCGCATGCGCGAGAGATAAGAAAATAATATTTTGTTTATCGTACTTGTTGATAGTGAGCTACAACAACAATTGCTACAGTCAGCATCACCATCAGTAGCAGCGATCGGTTGAAATCCTCGATCTCAGTCGTCGTTCGTGTCGCATATGACCAGGGGCTGCCATGCTTGTACGCGACCGCTGAAGTCGTGAACGGCGGGTCAAGGCGCGTCCGAACGATTCCGCCGGGCACCGACCACCTCAGACGCTAACTACAACAATGCATACCATCAGTGGATTGGCCATCGTTGTGTGGCTGTTGGCTGCAACGTCCGCATCCGCCAGATATCCGGTCGTCTTAGGTAAGTCTTGGCCTGTGTGCCGTCGTTGACAGAGCCGATGGCTCTATGTTTTCATCTGTTCTATGGTTGTGCAAACTGCTTTGCCTGCGGTAACCACATACTCTCTAATTGAATGTTTTGTGTTCTTACCGGGCTATGCCATTAATTTTTTTTCTTAATATTTTGTAATTAATGAAGTATTTTTTTTCAAAACATCTTATGAAAAAACTATTTTATGGCTTTTCAAATGTTATCATTGAAGTAGGTAGGTATAGTAGTATATTATGATTTATCATTATGATTTGAAGGTCATTTTCTTTACTAACTAAAACCTCTTAGCTATTGATTATTAAATTATACTCTTGATCTAATCACATTATTTTATCCACTTAAAAAAAACAATGATAGTTAAATTTATTATGCAATTGATCGGTAAATAAGCTAACCAATGGATTTGTATGTTATTAAAAATATAATAGACAATATTTATTGTTGGATACATCATAATTTGAAACATTATTAACCAAATATAATAAAGTTAAAATATTTACAACGATAAAATAATTAATTATATGGTATTAGCTTTAAAAATAATTTGAATTTGATTAGGCAAATCATTATTTAGGATCACATGTAATATCAAGGTTAAGTACTTTATTCATATCATCTTTCACATAAATAATTTTATATGATTAATGTATTTAACACTAATTCCTTATTAGGTACTTATATGATATGATAAATTCATTTTTGATTGTGTTGCTTAAATATAAGGTATACCACAATTTATTCAAAAGATTTTTGTTTAAAATAATATTCTAATGTTATCCATACATTTTTGCCAGTTAGTTGAATCATTTTAAATATTACATAACTAAAATCATAGTATAACGAATAAGACTTGTGCTCAACACATTCCGCTTTTTGTTCTAGTTTGTGCATGTGCATTGTCTTGTGTTTCAAGCATAGTGCATTATACAAGATGAAATGTTAACTTGTGACTTAAGCTTGAGTTTATTGTTGGTTACACATATAAATTATATATTGCCCCTTAAAAAAATATGAGCATACTTCTTATTCCTTATACTGCGATTAAAATCAAATATAATTATATATAAACTATTTCTCTCAATTTATTTATATTATTCTATTATATAAGAAGTCAGTGATCCCATAAATTTAAAATACCTAAGACCTATTTGATAAAAATAATATTTCAACACATGAATAATGCTTTTCTCATATTTTTTAGAATCAATCAATTTAGAATGCTAATGATAACAATAAATGTTGATCAGAAAGAAGTTAAAACTATTTTAATATTTACTCATGCCTACATAATAATTTAGAAATACACTTTATTGATCAACATAATATGTATAAATATCTAAATTTTTTAAAAGATAATAATTTGTTAAATTAAATATTTTAAATCGACTAATGTTACTTCTGGAATATTATTGAATATCTACTTAAACATAATAATTTACAACATTTTCTTAATTGTTATAAAATGTATTCTTTAGAATTTAAAATAGTCTATTTATATAAGAGTACATGTTATCACATTACTGTGTGTGTCTTTTTTTTGATTCTCACTCCAAAGTTTACGTATAATAATAACTTCTAACAAAATAAATAGAAATTATACTCTCTTAAGGTCATATTTTTGAATGGTGTATCAATATATATTTTAAATATTTATTGAACCACCCTAACCAATGATCAAATATCATTCAGCTTTGCTTACAAAATAATAAACAAATTATTTCAAAAGCATATTTATGCTAATAAACGCTAGCCACATCACTCAACAACCCTAAGAAAATAACATTTGGTATAGGAATGCAATCAAGTTAATTAAAAAAAAAAAATTGTATTATTGTGTTATTTTTAGTTCCTGGTGATGGTGGTAGCCGCATAGATGCTAAATTGAACAAACCCAGTGTTGTTCATTATTTATGTGATAAAAAAACAAGTGATTATTCCAACATTTGGTTGAATCTTGAATTGTTAGTGCCATATGTAATAGACTGTTTGGTAAGTAAAGTAATGTATTTAGTTTTATTAAGTTAATAACTCATACATTTTTTTTATAATTAGATAGATAATATGAGACTGATGTATGACAATGTTACCCGTACTACTCACAGTCCTCCAGGTGTAGATATAAGAGTGCCTGGATGGGGAAATTCTTCTGCTGTTGAATACATAGATCCTAGTTTATCCACATTTGGAGCTTACTTTAAGAGTGTTGGTGATACATTGGTGGGCACTGGTCTTGAGCGAGATGTTTCTATTCGGGGAGCGCCTTATGATTTTAGAAAAGCTCCTAGTAAGAATTAAAAATGAAACAATTTTTTCTATCATATAAATATAAATTTCATTATTTATAGATGAAAATACAGAGTTTTTTGTGAAACTTAAGATACTAACTGAAGAAACATACCAACAAAATAATAATACACCAATTGTGTTTATTGTACACAGCATGGGAGGATGTATGACATTGAAATTTTTGCGGGCTCAAACGCAGGAGTGGAAAGATAAATATGTTAGAGCAATGGTTTCATTAGCTGGTGCTTGGGGTGGAGCAGTTAAAGCATTGAAAGTTTTCGCTGTAGGTATGCTGAAAAAATAATTAGAAAACAGGAAAATAGTTTATTAACATTTCATGTCTATAATTAATATGTACTTATTTATTTACAGGTGATGACCTAGGAGTGTATGTACTTAGTGGAAATGTTTTAAAAGCTGAACAAATTACATCTCCCAGCTTAGCATGGCTTTTACCGTCTCCGTATTTTTGGAAGGCGGATGAAGTATTAGTAGAAACTGATAAAAAAAACTATACAGTGACAGACTATAAATCATTTTTTGAGTGAGTAATGTCATGCAGCATGATAAATAATTTTTTTTCAATATTTGTTATCATTACAGAGGCATAGACTACATGACTGGCTATGATATGTACTTAGACGTTAAACAGTACATGGATTTTGGGCCACCTGGTGTAGAAGTCCATTGTTTACATGGTGATACAATTCCAACAGTTGAAAGGTTTGTCTGAATTTTTATTGTGAATCCTTATGTATTTTTAAACATACGTATTTTGTCATATTTTAGAATGATATTTGGACCAGGAAAATTTCCGCTTAAGTATCCTAAGTTACAATATGGTAATGGCGATGGAACAGTTAATTCCAGAAGCCTTGAAGGTTGCAGTTATTGGTCAACCATGCAAAAGCAAAAAGTTTTCCATCAAGTATTTCCAAATGCTGACCACATGACAATCCTGAGAGATGAACGAGTAATGGATTACATTTCACAACTCATGGAAAAACTATAGTTGTCTAATTATTTAAACTTAAGTTATTATTAAAATTTAATAATAGGTAATGTGTTCATTTAAATAGATAAATATTAAGGAAATCTGTAATAATATCCAATTTTATAACAAATTTTATTTTATCAAGTATAAATTGGATACATAACTTTTCTTATACTATTTACTGTAAATTTTATTTTATTGTTTACCAAATACCTTAAAATCCTTTAAAACAAACAGTATCTTTGTTGTCCAGTGAAGCCATATTTCAAGTGTATTGAATTTATTAAAATCCTAAAATCACTCAATAATTATACACTGTCAATCGCCATTTGTTTTTATGGCTACTATTGTCACCACCTTTGAATAATTTAAGAAGATAATGTTTTCAAAATTTTGTAAATTACAATAAAATAATATATTACAAAGTTTATTAGTTAATATTGTGGATTTAGACATAATAGACTGGTTTAAAAATATTAACATAGCCTTTTTTTTATATCATTATGAACTATCATATAGATTCATTTAATTTTAACAGATATTGTCGTAAAAATAAAAAAATATTACTATTACAGTCCCATTATTTTTAAACATGGGGCATATTTTAAATAATATGATATATTGAGATAGGTATAGCTCTTTATACTACATTGTTATAGAAGTGGAGAGAGGGTGGTTATGAGGGTTAAGACTCAGCAGCCAACTTTGCGATACACTTTTATTTTCCTATTCATTCAAACATTTTGAGAACACCGCTGGATAAAAGTTAACAATTATGTTAATCTCAACAATCATACAGTTTTTATTTCATGTATGAAATGTTTATTTTACTGACATTTAAACTTCATAAGTTTCAAAGTTTAATTAAGATCTATTATTTAAGATAAAGGTTCTATTAGGGGTTTTATATCAAAAATTCAAAAATATGTTTCTAAATAAAAGAACCTTATAAGTACATAATTCTGTATTCTATATCAGTGGTCTTCAACCTTTTTGGACTTGCGACCCACATTTCTAGGCCTACATTTTTCGCGACCCACGGAAGCTTTATAAAAAATCGTAAATTGCTTAATGCTTTGCAATAGTACTATTAAAACTAATATATAACTGATACATAATACATAACATACACTACTATTTTTAAACTGTATTTTCATTTATTAAATTTCTAAATGTAATTATTAAAAAATTATTTTTTTACCTTTTATAATTTTAAAAATTTTATTTTTATTTTAAAAAGAAGACTTATCGCGACCCAATTTTAAAGCTTACGCGACCCAAAAATGGGTCATGACCCACCGGTTGAAGACCACTGTTCTATATTATAGTTAAATAAATATTATATTATTACAATAATCTATAATTGGTTGTCCATGAGAATTTAGAGCATTACTCATAATTAGGGCTCGGATTTATATGCAATTAGTATCTATAAGATATGCAGATTTATATTATAAATATGCAAAAATATATATAAAATTAGTTTTTGCAAAAATACAACACAATTTAAATGTATGCATAAAAATGTTTATTGAAAAAAATTTAAAATAACATTTTTTGATGACAGCGTGTAAGTTTAAAAGTGTTATAAATTAAGTAAAGTATTATTTATACATACAATTATTATTTTAAAATGTAGAATAACATTATTTTTATGAAATTGTGTTTAAAAGTACTACACTATTTTTATTCAATTATTATTATGGGACAGTACCAACATGAACTAATTAAAATCGATTTTCAGTTTTTAAATTGATAACTTCTACGATTATCTCGAAGCACACTTTTACATTTAGAAAATGTCCTTCCACATAACAAAATACAATTGGAGCATATTTACAACTAGATAAACTTGGTTTAAGACAAAATTGTAAAATTTAAAATACCAAATACGTAAATCTTAAAGAAATATTTTGGTCATAAAAACATTTATCTGAGTCAAGTGGTTTATTTTTTATGGTTTTCTGCAATTTTCAGATTTAAGTAAATGTTGATAATTCATTAGAATTAATATATTTCTAATTTTAGATTCTGAATGGAACGATAAAACTTGACAAAACTTACAATGATATGTATTTTTTTATTTTTTTATTTTGATGTCAGTCATCAAGTTTTGGGGCAGTAAAAATGCTTCCATTTTCTTCAACAGCAATTTTTTCTGGTAGAAAATAGTTATGAATGACATAAAAAAAAAAAATTTAAAAACATAATTTTCTTCAGACGCCCATATAAAATACTATGGATTTAACCTCAACTTTTATTTTTCTTTCTTTAACCGAAAGGCTCTGTTTTAACAATATTACTCCTCTTCTGCCTTCGCTTATTGGCAAATAAATTGAAATACGCACAACACACAGTATTATATAACATGCAAATACATAATACAAACAAGTAATGTCTGTTGATTGACGATAGCACTGAATCATCTTCCAATACACTCAAATAGGTGTACAATAGTTATATATAAGTACTTCAAAGCATTACTTATATTATATATTATTATACTATGATCAGTGAGATTTAGCGGTAATAGGAAAAAAAGGCAATTGAAAAAAAAGCAACGGAAAAAAAAGCAGTAAAAAAAAAGCAAACAGAAAAAAAAACAAATGAAAAAACAGCAAACGGAAAAAAAAGCATTTGAAAAAAAAGCTAAAGGAAAAAAAAGCAAACGACGCACATTTTTGTTTTTTTTTTAAAAAGAATTTTAATAACTCAAGATAATTACAATATTTTACTTAATCAGTGAGAAGTGTAAAATATATACGTGGTTTTTTTGTAGCTTAGCCCTTTCCTCCTTTTCCCTATCTTCTCCCCCATTAAAAGGTTTTATATTATTTATTAATTATTTTTTTTAACCATTACTTAATATGTTATGTATAGCAAACCATTTTAAGGAGAGAAGCAAAAAATGTTCCTCCTTTAAGTATAATAATATGTAATAGTTGCCTATTTACATACAATTTAGTTAAAAGCTTGGATGTGATTTATTATGATTGTGGCGGTCCAGTTTGACTTAATATGTAATATGTAGGTACTACGGACGCTCGTCGAAGCTCGTGCCGCTTTCCCCGACAAATGATTAGAAACAACGTGGCACTTGGTCACTAAATAAGTGATTATTTGATATTATATACCTCCTATATGACTCGTCACATCGTAAAGGACAACAATTGACAAATGATACGACTATAATAAAAATGTCAAAATCATATTTCAAACTTATCTTATAATGATTCAAAGACAGATAATGAGATAGGTAGGTATTTAGGTTTTCAGGTTTTCGATAATTGATAAAATATCAACAGTAATATTATA